GGTCGTTGCTAAAGGCTTGTCAGCGTTGACGGCTGGAAAGGCCAAAAACACCAGTCTGTCAATGGTGTCTATGCCAATGTCGACAGCAAGTCGTATCCCATCGACCTCATTGATGCCACGGGCGCTGCCCAAGGACAGACCGGGTCTCTGCACCCAGTCCGTCGAGATAATTGAGGACATTGAGCACATCTACGAGTGTGTCGTCACACGCACTTTATGACAGATGGCGGCAGTCTAAAGGCATGAAAGCTTCTCCTGAAGCTGTGACCTTATTTGTTTGCAGTCTCATGTATGGCACACCAGGTTGGTAGTTCCAGAAAAAAATCTCCTGAGCTCATCTGCATGCAGTTCCAGCTTATTCTTGGCGATTATTTCAAGTCCTGGGACGCGGCCAAGTCAATCGCTGAGCAAGCAACTGCCGTTACTTCCTGGATCAAGAATCATAGCAAGGTTTGGGTTATCTTCGATGCTGCTCAGCTTAAACTTGGCACAAAAACTGCCCTTGCTTACCTGGTCACGTGTCTCACCCGCTGGACCATGCATTTTACCACATTTGCCCAGTTAGTCGATCTCAAGAAGGCTATCACTATGGCTGTTGGCTGGCAGTGTGACAACATCATCAAGGCACAGGTTGGGGCTGCCCAATCAACAGAAGCTGCATGATTGTCGGCCGATGCGAAGGAGCACTGTGACATGGTTGATGATTCCGCGTTCTGGGATGGGCTTGAGCAGGTGCTCAGTGATATAGAAGCTATCTGCTACGTGACAAATCTGGCGCAGAGGGATTTGACGTGAGCGGACCAGGTACTACTAGGGCTGGTCGGGGTGTATCTCCGGTTTGTGGAGCAACCTGAAATGGCTCTGAGGGATGAGATGGTGCGGCGCCTTGAGAAGCGCTGGGGTGAATGGGACCATGTTTGTCATTGCCCTTATACTCAATCCCTGGGAGCAGCTGTCATGCTTTAGCAATAGCACTAATCTCGATCATTTCAAGGTCATTGATATTGTAGACCAGGAATGTAGCTTTTTTCGCTGCGAAATGTGACTGATCTTTTTATAGATGTATCGCCGACTTGCCCTTCGTCCCGGCTCAAAGGCGACAGTTGCAGGTGAGACTGCTGTTTTCAATGCAGTTGGAGACTATCTTGCTGGTATCCACTGTTTTGCATCCTAGACAAAGCATGTTGCAAGTGGGGAGAAGTATGCTATTGATGAGGTATAATTTTCTCTCCAACTCGTACTCGCCAATACTCAGTTAACTAGACATATGACCCAAATCAGTGGTAGATTGGCTACCTTAACACAATGGTGTACGAACTTGCTGAGTTGGCGCTTCTCATTTTCAAGATTATCGTGAATCAAGCTGCTGTTGAACGGGTCTTTTCATTTGTCAAGGAAACCACCAAGGATCGACGAAACTGTCTCGGATTAGACAAGACTAAGGAGTTGCTCCTGGTTTGTGTCCGCATTTGGTCTGTTGGGGCTGGCTGAATATGATGCAGGTACCTTATAAAATTCACTCCAAGCACCAAACTGTGGGAATATTTAAGGAGCGACACGTGTTGAATACGACACAAAATGATGGAAAGAACTGGTTGATTGTACTGACTAGCTAGCTTAAATACAAATGTAGAACAAGAATATCTAAATCTGTCTGTACAAAGGCAGTATCCTAAGTAGTATAATGAGCAAGGAAAAAGAAAGGCAAGTGTGCATTGGGCACAAGTCCATACGCGATGTGTCCACGTGACACAGCAGACGCATAACGACACGCTACGGTTTGTAAGTCCAACAACGCGTATAAAATAACCACAAGAATGTTGTAGCACTTCTTGCAGTTCCACGTTATGCCAATCCTCTGCAGGGCCAAAACAATGAGGATCCGTCCGAGCGTGGCCGAGCTCTAGTGCAGTCCCAATCTGTATAGAAAACAGCAATGGCGGGATGGATTGCCGATTCCTGCACAGCTGCTGAAGCAACAGAAGAGGTAGGCAATGATATGGCTGCTGACAGCATGGAAGAGGACAATTCTACCCCACTACCTGATAACCAGCCCCCGTGTAGGCCCCGACAGTGGCATAAACTTACTCTGCACAGTCTTTTTGGGATATCTCCTGTTAAAGAATCACTTCCGAACGCGGGTTTCATAAAGAGCACAAGAGGAGGAGGAGCAGTATATGCAGGTGATGGCTGAGTTGGATGAGGATAATGATGAGCTGGATGATGGTGCAATCGAGATAGATGATGATGAGGTCTTTAAACCGTAGCATTCAATTTATTATATTCAATTATTGCGATCAAAAATTTCCTTTTATGGACACTAAGACCTAAGCCCTGAATAAGGTCTATGCCTTATGCTAAGGTCTAAGCCCTTAGCATATAATGAAGGCCTTTATTAAGGCCTTCTATGTATCACTGGTTCAGAGTTCAACTGAATAGTATTGCAGGGTAAGAAGAGAGTGTCCTGCATTAGTCTGTGCTTATACTTATATAGGGATCCTTTGATAACTCCAGCCTAGCGGGACCAATAAGCCAGTGGCAGTGCCGCCCGACATCACACCCTGACAGTCCAGACCCAGTAGGGAAAACAAAAGTAACATGATGTTTCTTTAATAACTCTTACAGCACATTAACATTACTCAACTGAGCACAGCTAGCTAAAAGGGCATAATATTGAGAGAAAAACAAACATAAAGGAGAAGTGCAAGTTGATTAGAGTGCATCACTGTAGGGTATTTTGATCAACTGTCTACCTATTTGTAATGTAGACACCTGATCAAAACACTCAAATATGACTATCATACACATATGATGTAAAGGCCAAATAATGGGACAAAACAAACTGTATATATATGTGATATAATTACATCTGAAATTGTTTTGTACTATCTTATTATAATTAAGTGTCTGCCACTTTCTTTTTGTAATTTGGAGCTAAAAAGGTTGTTTTGATTTACAATGATTTTTCACAAGGAGTTTTTTTTGGGTCAATGTAACATATAATGTAAGCAGTTGATTGAAAGAGGACAGTATACTACCATAGTGTAAGTCCAATATGCTATGAAAATAATCTCAATAGCTGAATGCTACGGTGACCAGTTCAAGAAATAGAGGGGAAAAGATCATTCAAATTTAGCCTCTGCTCTTTCCATTTGTATGGCATGCGCTGTGATGTCAATTCAAGAAATGCAAGATGTCTGACACATGCATTGAAGTCTTGGTTCCTGAAACATATCAGAGTCTATATAAGCTATTGTATAAAGCAAAGGAGAAGAAGAAAGACTTACTCTGCAATGACTTTGAATAAGGAGACTACTTGGCTGAAAGCTTTAGGTGGAGGCTCTGCTGACCACTTAATATAGCCCTCACTAGCCACCCAGTCAATCAGTGCAACCCAGGTTTCCGAGTTTGGACCAAGTTCTAAGATTTCTGGCAGAAGATGAATAGACTGGGAAGGTTTTTCCAGGAACCCTTCGCCCAACATAGAAAAATGATGATATAGCAATATCAATTGCTCTGCTGCTTTATGGGCACTAAACACAACTTTCACTGTCAGTTTGAAGCTATCCTGCAGTGTATTTGACTTTGAGATAATATTTTCAGAATCCAATCCAATGTCAGCAAGGAAGACATACAGCTGTTAAGAGTTCATTGAGGGCAGGTGTAAGAATTTCATTCTGAAGGACAATTCCTATTATCTTGTCCATATGGATTTCTGAACCTTCAGACTTGCAAAGTGCATTTACAAGTGCATCAGCTCCTGCCCTATAGTTGCAGAGAGTAGCAAGAGCAGCATATGTAGATGTATGCCTTTTAAACCACATCAGATTATATGTATAGGCTACTTATGTAAATATCAATAGCTTACGATTGATTTGTTGTGAGCAATTGAGATATGCATGGTGAAAGCACTAAAATGGGCAATTGTGTTCCAGCTTCAGCAATAGCCTTGAGGAGATAGAGACTAGAAACACGTGCAGCATTTGGACTAGGCTGTACTAGAAAGGAACCAAGAAGGTCTGGCTCCTGGAAGAGAATCCACTCTGTAATTTGTTGCTGACTTCCACTTGTGAAGGCAAGATATAGTTGGTTAAACAAGAGAGCTTTAACTTGAGTCGAGATATACATTGATCTGGAATATTAAGCGCAATGAAAGAGATATGATGCCATTGATTTGCACACCTGAGATATATGCCATACAGCAATAAGGTATCATTTGCTAGATAATCAGAGGAATGTGCTTTGAGGAGCTGACGGGCAGCACGGTTATGTAAATATCGGAGCAAAGGCTTTGTGGTAGCATGCAAATCAAAGGTTGCTCCAACATTGTTTCGATCTGACCACCAGCTGTGGACACTGTGAAGGCTGGGAATTGAGAGTGAGCGGGAAAGCGGTGGCATCGGTCGTTGGGGGGTAGTGGACAGGGTCTCTATGGCATCAGGATCCATCATCTTATACTAGTCGGCCGAATTCATTGATAATCAGTCATCTTTTCATGACTATGTTTAAACCTGTACTCAATTTGCCGTGCACTGGCATCAGAAAGGAGCAGATCGCTACTAGTACGCCTTGACATGCTGTAGATCGTGAGGCGGGTGTTGCTGTGGGAGTTCTAAAATTACAACTTGAGACCAGCTGTGGAACTGGTCCAATGCATACACGCCGCAGGAACGAATATGATGCAAATGCCCTCCGAGTCAACCTCCCAGCGTCAGAGTTTCTTGCAAGTCTCGCGGGCGGGCTGCCAGCGCCGGAGCGGTAGACGTGTCGCCTGGCCCGCAGAACAAGAGTGTGGAGTCACAGCCTGGAGGCGCCGCTCAGTCTGCGGCGAGAACCATGATGTGGCGATCGGCAAAGAGGACACGTCATCATGTCACGCATCACGTCATGCGTCACGTCAACAATTTTCATCCAAAGCACTCGTTCTTACAGAAATATGAGCACCACCACTAGTCTTGCCTAGAGAACAACACGCTCCACTGGCACGATTGACCCGGACTCTACGCTTCGACCGCGACTTTTTCCTCGCTACCACCATCTAATGAGGCGGCGGCTCTCTGTGTCTTTTTGGCCCGAAGTGGCTCCATGACCCAGCCAAACAAGTACGCCGCGACCTCGATCCCAAAAAACAACCAATAAACGACCACAATGCCACTCGGCACACGGGTGCCCATGTCGCTGACGGTGTCCCACTCGTCCATGCCCGTCTTAACACCAGCATAGAGCAGCGCTGTCATTGCAACGCCGCAAAACACGTGCAGGTGGCGGAGGGCGTGCTTCGGGGTCGAAAGGGTGGGAAACGCGGCGCCTTTCTGTGCCCCGGCCGGGCCCGCAGAGTGGGTGTAGTGCGCGGCGATTCCGAGGAGGTATTGGAGGAGGAAGAGGATAAGGATGGCGAGGCCTAGGTCGTGATGCGCATCCGCTTTAGGGCCGGTGAGCTGGACGATGTGGGAGGCGCCGGACAGAACCGCGACGATGCCAACAGCGAATACGATGATGATGCACGATGCAGTGACTGACTGGAGCCAGAGGTGCGCCTTGAACCACCATGGGCGACCCCGAAAGTATCGCCCGATTAGGATGGCGGCAGGGGCAGTGAAGAGGGTAGCGATGCACGCGAAGACGGCTGGCGAAAGGTGAGCAAACACAATGGCCTCAATCTAACGATTCACCATGCGCAATGATCATTTTGTCGTGGTAGTCGACTCCGTCGGTGGGCTTCTTGGCCATCTTGCTCAAGTGTGGATACAGCGAAGTACGGGGGGGACTTTGGGTGTCGGGTCTTGTTCGTCTCGACTGACAAGGCATTTTTATCTGTCTCAAACTCATGGGTTCTTGTGAGAGTGTTCCCCTCCATGCGGGAAAGTTATTTTCGGTTTCGCTGACCCTGCAATCTAGCTTCGGTGAACATTGGACTTCGCTCGACAACATCGATATTTCCGAAAATTCGACCACAAAACAGTATTTTGGCATTTACTATCACCTGCCCGACTCCAAGCGGCTCCGCGTCCCTGCATTAAACTTGAAGGCGCATTTTACGGGTGAGACAATCGGTCCTATTGCGGCTATCATCTTATCCTCCTTATCTGATACGATTGCTTCTCAGGTTCTTATCAGATTGCAGGCATGCGGCTTCCTGAACTTTACTCGCAAAGCGTCCGACAGCAAATCCAACCCAAACCCACCCTGCCATTTTGTTGGTACTGCCTGCCCGTCGATTCAAGAGATTTCCGAGTTGATCAAGCAGCCGACACAGCTCTCGATGACCAAACTCGGTTTTTACTAGTAGGCGAGCAGCTTACTCGGATCAGACGATACCAATCGCGCTTCTCTTGACGTGGAATACAGGCGTGCCATCGGAAATGGGCATCGGAGACCCGTTCGTAACGATTTCCTCCGTGGCATTACATGGGGTCAATGTTAATAGGATTACAAAACACAACGAATGCCGCATAACATCCCGCTCATCATAGAGTTTGGCTGATAATCCTGGGTAGTTACTGTCCCTCCGCCTCCGCGCGCTTCAGGCCCAACTTCCCGCGCTCGAGTCGTATACCCAGCCCTTCAAACATCTCCCCGCGGAAGTTCGGCTGCCACTGCAGCGCCTCGAGCGCCTTTCTGGCCTGTACCCTTCGCAACACGATCTCCACCTCCATGTCGTCCCCCGCGATCGCCTTGATTTCTTCGACGCTCTTCAGCGGGCCCTCGTGCGCCAGAAGTTGAGGGTCTACACGCTTGGCGACCTCCGCATGCATTTCTGGATCGGTCATGCCCATTGCGTATTCGCAGAAGTCCATCGTCGACTGCAGCAGGTCTTCTGTTACGCCTTTGTTCGTGTCTGCCATACCTTGGATGACTAGGTTGAAGGTCAGCGCGTGAGCGGCGGATCTAAACACAATGTGTACCAGGTCGAATGAAGGAGAACGCGCGGTCGTAGTTGTCCTCCTCCACATCCGTCAGTACTGACGCGCTTTGATGGAGGATCTGGCGGTAGGCGGCGAGTACGACTATCATAAATCTGCATCAAGGGTAAGCAGAATCATTGAGAGTGAGGGAAGCTAACCGAGTGTAGGACGCGCCAACTTTGGCAGTGTGGAATTTGGCGGCTTCCTCCTCTGTGCAATCGCCCCGGATTGAAGCGCCGATGGTCGCAGCGGCCGTGAGCCCGCCGTTAAAAGCGAGATGAACACCGGAGGAGAAGTATGGGTCAATCTTGCGAAAACTATTGTCAGATTATACGGTCATCAAAGCCAAGCAAACTCACGAAAGCGCCAGCGTCGCCAGCAATACGGTAGTTTGGACCGGCGTGGACGGGTGCGGAGTAGCTGTAGTCTCCGGCAGTCATCACCTCGCCATGGAACGTTGCGGGCTGGAGGAACTTGGTGACACCTGGCACTAACGAGAGCTGGCTGTTATAGAAGTCCCGCATGGCGTTGGGGCCGGAAAAGCCTTTCTTTTTCTCCTTTGCGACCTCTTCCTTCAAGACAATGCCAACAGATACCTTATCCGTCAGCGGAATAAACCAAGCCCAACCACTCTCGTCTAATTGGCGGTGAAAACTCCGCAGGTGGGACACCACTGCGACATACCAGTCAACGCCTCCACCCAAATGGCATTCTCTCGGCTCGTTCCCGGCGCATACATCTCCTGGCCCGTCCAGTATCCCCAATACGCGACGCTTCTGAGCGCCTGGTTGAAATGGCGATTCTTCAAGTAGCGCGTCGACATCAGCCCATTTCTCCCTGAAGCATCAACCAGATATTTGAATCTAATCTCGCCCGATGTCCCCTGGTCGCTCTTCCACTCGAGCGATACGGGCTGAAACTTCGTGGGCTCAACGTCGGGGTCCGCAAACTTGATTGCACCGACAGTCACTCCCTCGACCACGCGTGCACCGTGTTGGGCGGCGTTGCGGAGAAGGAGCTCGTCGAAATCGGCGCGCGTCTGGTGATGTTTATGAGCTCTTCAGGCAGAAGGATGCTGGAGACTCACAACGTTCCACGCGGCGTTATTTGGGTTGGGGTTGATAAAGTCCGTGTCTGCGCTCCCCATGAGTCTGGGCGTGGATCGGGACTCAGCGAAGACTCACAGCCTTCACGCTTATTGCGGGCGAATTTGAACGCTGCGCCGACCTACTCTGGAATCAGCACAACACTTCGGCATTGACCACAAGAACGAAATTACTTTTACCAGGAAGCCGAAATTGTCGACCTTCTGCTCGGCGTCGATGAAGCGCAAGAATGGCCGGCATGAGGGCAGCAGACTCTCGCCGATATGGTATCTTGGAAAGTGCTCTTTCTCCAACAGTGTTACCTGGTAGCCCTCTTCAAGTTCGCGTGAATTAGTACTGACCTGCCGCAGAAACAAAAGAACCCACCGCAAGCGAGAGCGGCAGCGGCGTAGGATCCGGCTGGTCCACCGCCAATGACGAGGATATCGGAGTATTCGGGCTGGTTGTCAGGAAAGCTTCAGCCAGCTGAGCGGCATCAACCGGAAGGCACTACGCACAATTTCCATCTTGGAGGGCCTGAGGAGAAGGTGACCAGGGAAAAATTGGGGAAGAAAGAAGCGCACCAGAACCACTTCCTCGGCTTGACCCTCTGAATATATATGGGCTCGGCGACGGCCTGCGATTACTCCTACCAACTAGTGCACGGCGCGCCTACACCACTAAGCGGACTGCGTTAAGCGACGGCTTCGCCCCCACAAATACTACGCGAATCAGACCAGCATCATTGCAGCATGGCGCCGCAGGGAAAGTGGACATGTCCGTACTTACGGCCTTCCTATATAATGTCCCGCGTCACGACGCCAATATCTGCCAATATTTGGGCATCTGATCCAGGAAAGGAAGGAGGAGAACCTCTGAGGGCATGTTCTTTGCGATTTCCAGAATTATGTTGCCATAATATTGCCATATTTGATGTCCTTGATTCAGCTGGCTCTAGAACTCAGAAGCAGTTTGCCGACCGACGACCGTCAAAGATCAATCATCAGCGTGTTGGTAGACGATCATGGCATGTCCGAGTCTAGACCGTCTGTTGTCCAACATCGGTTGTGGCCGCCCGAGGACGATGTTGTGTCGGCTATAACCGTGACACAGGATGTGTCACGTGAGTGTCACGTGACACGCAATGACGTGTCCTCCTTGAAGTTCTCGATCCGCCTTCATGGGTTCTTCGGTCCCGCCATTGGCACAGACCTTCATCAATGACATCGACCGTAACGCCGCCCTCGCGCTCAACCAGCTCGCCCTCGCCTTCTTCGTGATATACGTGGGCGCGCTGACCGCAGTGCTTTCCCCGCGTCTGCCGTCGCTGCTCTGGCGCACGGCGGGCGTCGCCCTGCTGCTCGGGGTTGCGCTTGCGGCGGCTAGGGTAGACACGGGCGCACCAATCGTGGGGCACTATATGAATGCCGGGGTGTGGATAACACTGTTTGCGGCGGTGGGAAGGGTGGTGATCGAGCCGGAGCGGGTGAGGGGTGCTCTGGAGGTTCGCTTGGAGGGGAAGAGGCTGGGAGAAGTCGGGTTGAGGGAACGAGTTGGCTGGGCAGTAAGGCTCGCTGGCGAGGACTTGAATGATAACTCGAAACTCGAAAAAAGCCCCAATATTTCGACCTCTAAATGGCTGTTCGTTCTCCAGCGATTATTGGCTGCGCTGGCAACTTTCCTTGTCGTCGAACTCATAAACATGTACAATCTCACCCACACCCCCTCGCTCTATCTCCGGCGCTCGCTCGAGATATCCTCTAAATACTCTCTTGCGGGCACTTCCGTCGTGCAACGCTACGCCAATATCTTTCTGTTCGGCGCTCCTTTCGTCCTCCTGCTACTGGTCCTCCCCGCCCTGCTAGGCGATGCCTGGGCAGTCGCAACCGGCTCATCGTCCGCAAGCCATGGACACATTGGCGTCGGATCGCCATTGCTGCTCTACAACCTGCGCAATTTCTGGGGGGAAATGGTGGCACCAGAACAATCGTGAGGTGTGTTATACCTTGCTTTATTCTTATGTGTCTTTGGGGTGGGTAAAGCCTGAAGGCATCAAGTGATTCGATTCGGAGTCCCACCCCACTGATTTCATTATTTCTTACCATTGTTTTACTATCACTCTTTCTCTTACTAACCAACCCGCTAGTTCTTCACCGCGCACGGCCACCTCGTTGCCCACCGCCTCTTCCATCTTCCCCGCGGCACCAAAGCGTCCGCCTACACCCAGCTCTACACAGTCTTCCTCGTCTCCGGGATAATGCACCTCCTGCCCGAATGCGCCGCCCTCCGGTGCCTTCCGGCCGGCGGCGGCGGGCTGCGCTTCTTCGTGCTGCAGGCCGTCGGGATTGCATTCGAGGACGCAGCCGTCCGGACCGGCCGGCGCGTCTTCCGAGGCCGCCGGCCCGGCGGCGGACGAGAACGGGGATGGCGGATACTCGGGTTCTTCTGGCTCTGGACGTGGCTCGCGCTCACGGTGCCGCCGTGGCTCGATCCGCTCCTGCGTGCAGGTGTATTCGACCCTCTCTTCCGGAGTTGGGTCGTGGTGCCGATGTGGCGAAAACATGCCGCTGGGCTACGAGTAATTTGGCCTTTCGATAACCATACTAGAGCTTAAGAACTGTACATACTAGTTCTAATACTTCCTCCGTCTGCCCCAAATATACCTCAAATCGTTGACTCTATACTTATATTGGACCATGCACATTCCACACATATTGACACAAAATCAAGGAAAAGCGGTTAATTAGATGAGGGGATAAAATAAAATTGGAGACAAAGATGGAGGTACTGAGAAGTAACCATGACCAGCCTGAGGAGGAGGCAGGTTCTGTCTCGCCACACACTGAACGTATTCACGCTCCCATTCAGTGGCCATTCATTAAACATTGCCCGTCCACCATAATGAACCCTCTACTCTTTATGAATAAACACACAAGAGGCACCAGGCCCCCCGCTCGTCAGCCCCAACACCATTTCCATGCTCCCAAATAAACATCGCCAGAACGACTGGCTTTTGGATCGACTAGCGCGTCTAAAGGAGTTGGGGTCTTGAACCAGCATATGGGGGTATATTAATACAGTCGATGTCACTTTACGATCCGTGTAGGCCGCGATACATCGATTCCTTTGGCGCAGGTATGGCACGTGACTGCCTTTTTGGGACCAAATGGCGAGGGGGGGACCGCGCCGCAGATTGCGCCAGCAATGCCGCTGGGAATGAATGCGTAGGGGAAGTGGTCGTTGTGCCGATGGTAAATGGATGCTCCTGCGGTCCGTTGGCTGGGTGAGGGACCGCGAAGGAGCCCACGACGGTGCCTGAAGACAACATTCGACGGCAGCAGTCGAGGAAGGAAGTTAATCCGGAAAATAGGCACGAGATCCAGAAGCCAGCTTGAATGGGGACTTCCTTGCTACAAAGAAGTCGACGAAAGTGCACTTCTCCTTCAAAGCCAATATCGTCGCACGGAGCCGGAGGAGGAGGACAGCACCATTATGGAAGGAATAGCGAGAGTGAACATCGTTGCGTGAGGGTAGGATAAAGCGGGGGGAAGAGTTCAGGTCATGACCAGCGTGTGTCTCCTCACTCCTCGGCGTAGTCTTCGATATGCACGACAGACGCGACGAAGATAATATCATCATCATCAGGGCGGCTTAGTCCGTCCGCGTTGCAATGAGGGCTTCGTTAGCCAGCGAGCGGTACAGATCGGTACCCATTTCCCCTCTTGTTCTTGCAAAAGGACGGCCCCAGTGGCGAAGTCGGAGGAGTCCGCTTCGACCCGCCATGCTCCGTGATCCGTAGGGAAGTGTAGAACTGGTTCGTCAGTGACCCGGTCTATCAACGTCTGAAAAGCCTCCTCCTCTTCCGGTCCCCATTTCCATGGGCTGTCTTTTCGGGTCAGTCGAGTGAGTGGCTTGGCATAGGCGCCGAAGTCCTTGATGAATTGTCGGTAGAAGTTGAGGAACCCCAGGAAGCTTTGCACCTCCGGCAGGTTACGAGGTCGGGGCCATTCACGCACGCCAGCGACCTTGATCGGGTCCATGCGGAGTTGCCCGTTCCCGACGATCACGCCGAGGTATTCGACTTCGTTTCGCTCGAAGTCGCACTTGTCCGGTTTCAGATATAGTTGGTTGTCCTTCAGGATCCGCAGAACCTCTTTCACTATCGCGCGATGTTCGGAGAGGTCGCTGGAGTATATGAGGATGTCGTCCAGGTACACGATCATGCGACCCTGGGAAATCAAGTTGGAAAACAATTCGTTCATCATGGATTGGAACGTGGCCGGTGAGTTGGTGAGGCCGAAAAACATCACGAGGGGTTCAAATAGGCCCCGGTTGGTAATGAACGCAGCCTTCTCTTCCAGCTGGAACCCCACATACAATGCACAAGTGAAGGGATATATCCCAAGGGTACAATGCACAAGTTATGGGTTATAACCCAGGGGAATTTTAAGAAATATTACTCTATTTCATTTTATTCTTTGTTTGAGCTGTTTGGTAGGATATCAGTGATGGGATTGATGTCCTTAATTAAATCTAACCTTTGTTGAATCAGTTTTGAAAGAGATCAATTGTTTTGATGATTACATGATGCTGCATCACTCCTTCCCTAGTTATTATTGATCTCTATTTTCTACTCTCCTAAGAGCCCAATATTACATTGCGAGTCATCGGCCTGAAGAAAAGGTGATTTACGATAACATGTATGATGTCACATTAGTCACATTATGCTTTTATGGTATATTTTGGTATATATATAACCCACCACTTGTGCATTGTACCTTTGGGTTATAACCCACAACTTGTGCATTGCATGTGCTGAAACAGGTGTCGGCTGCTTACGAGGCCAAGGATTTGCACGGGTCTTCGTGGTGTTTCAAGTTCTGGGAGTGTACGGACGAGGAGGGCGTGTACACCTTGTTGGAGATGGACTCGCAATTTGCGGACCTTCAAGCGCTGTCGGAGAATTTCCTCTACTGGCGCTTCTGCTTCCGTTTCCTGCCCCGCTCCAACACCCTTCGGGCGCAACATCGGCGTCGTTCGGAGGACAAGGGGCACTCTACTCATCCCAACGTTCGGAACCGGCATGCGGGCCGTCAACCATCCCCGCGACGCCCCCGGGCTTCGACACGGGGCTCCCGAACCGGGCCCGCGCGTTGGCGTTCCCATTCCTCTTCTCCCCGGCGCTCGGCTTCTCCGATCCGTCAGCCAGCGCCGCCTCCTCGTGCACGGTCTCCTGTTCCTCGCCACTCCGCACCGGTTACCCCGGCCGGACCTCCCCGCACTGGGCGCGTAGGGGACGCGAGCCGCCCTGAGGCAGGGACCAGTTCCGGTCGTGGGCCCCTCGACGATGGGGGACATGCTTTTCCGCCCAGAGAATTACCCGGACGTGACGCTCTGGTTCGGCGAGCCGTCACCGGTTCGGGCCGCCGCCGAGGCGCACCGTTTGTTGGACGACCCGGATGTGGCCCAATCGTGCCGGTTCTCCGCTGTGGGGGTGACGCTGCTGCACCAGTTGCTGACCCGGCCC